TTCAACTCCTCCCTCCCTCTCTCTTTCTCTCTCTCCCTCTTTTTTTCTCTCTCTCTCTCTCTCTCTCTCTCTCTCTCTCTCTCTCTCTCTCTCTCTCTCTCTCTCTCTCTTTCTTTTTTTCCTGCTTGTTCAACTTGAAAAAAAATAAAAAAAAATAAAAAATCCTGGCTTGTTCAACTTCCAGCCTGAGCTAATTTTGGCAATTTTTGGTTTTCACCGCCAATTCGGAAGCCGAGCGACGCGTTCGCTCTCTTTCATCATCTTGATCTCTTCGACTTTCGTTTTTTCTTTTTGGTCTTTTGTGTATTCCTCTTCCTCGTCTTCCTCTTTTTCTTCTCTCTTTCTTCTCCATGTTATTATTATTATTATTATTATTATGCAATTAATAGCTAGAGAGTCATGGCGGCGATGAACGGGAAAGAGGGTGTAGGGAAGGTACATCGGAGAAGTCCAGGAGTGCAGGTGCAGAGGAAGGAGTCTCTGCAATTCGAAGACCAGACTGTAGACAATACTCAGTCTCTCTCATGCCTAATTAGTCATGTCTGATGACTAACTAATTAGCCATGTCTCTGATGACTAATTAGTCTCCTCTGGTGACTAATTAGTCTCATCTGATGACTAATCAGTCTCTTGATTGACTAATTAGTGCTCGACCTCATCGCTGCGGCTCCTCCCATCTGGGCCGAAACACCATTTTTAGCTCGTTGGTTTCACAGCCACAGCCCCTCTGCTGCAATTTGGCGAACACTATATATATATATATATACGACGAAACAGTTTACGACGAAACAGTTTGTCACAACCCCTTGTTTGTTGTCCTCTTCTCTCTCTCTGCCTACGGTATACCGGGCAGTTCTGTTTGTGACGATATATATACATATATATTTGACGATATATATATCGTATATATATATATTTTTGGGAACTAGACGAACACTGTAGTTCGTCGTTGGATTATGGCCTGCCTTACAAAATATAGAGCAGAGCACCATAGCTCGTTGGTTTGATGACCTTCAAATGATGAGAGGTTTTCCGACTCCTGGGTCCACCCATGCGCGAATACGACAATTGGCCACACTGCCAATTGACGATCTGTGAGCAATCAAGCTTGACTCGACCCGCAGCCTCATTTTCTCCCCCGGTAAGGATGGTTATTGCTGACCCGCGTCATTGGAGCTCCTCCTTGGTACTTGCTCAACCCATCGCTCTTCGACACCCGTCGTCTCTCTGTTCTCCCTCTTCTTCTTCTTCTTCTTCTTCTTCTCCTTCAGGAGCGCAGCCTGGCCGAAACGCGTCGGGGAAATTGCGCGTTTTTTTCTGAGAACTGTACATGCGGAGAAGAAATGTAAATCTGTTGATGCGTGTACGAGAAGCAGTCTATGGCCACTGTTTTCACTATTCTTCTTCTTCTTCTTCTCCTTCTTCTTCTTCAGGTGGTTCGTCTCCGCTCAGCTTCTGTTTCGCTTCTTCCTGGTTCTGTTTCTCTTCTTCTTCTTCCTGCTTCTGTTTCTCTATTCACACTGAGCAGGAAGAAGCAGGAAGAAGAAGCAAGCACCCGTTATCTCTCTGTTCTCTCTTCTTCTTCTTCTTCTTCTTCTTCAGGTGGTTCGTCTCCGCTTAGCTTCTGTTTCGCTTCTTCCTGCTTCTGTTTCTCTTCTTCTTCTTCCTGCTTCTGTTTCTCTATTCTCACTGAGCAGGAAGAAGCAGGAAGAAGAGGCACCCTTCGTCTCTCTGTTCTCAGTCTTCTTCTTCTTGGTTTGGCTCCGCTCAGCTTCCTCCCTCTGCATTGCTTCTTCCCGGTTCTGTTTCTCTTCTTCCTGGCTCTTCTTTTCCTGCTTTGCTTTCCTGAGCTCCTGTTTTTCACATTCCTGGCTCTCAACGAAGGCAAACAGCCTGTCAATCCTATCCTCATTATCCGATTTCCGTGTGAGCTTCGTCTATGTCCATGCTTGTTCTATGATGCGCATTATTCTGGTCGTGGACTAGATGAGTATAGTAATCATCTTCCCTTCTCTCGGCAGAGGTCTCCATTCTGCAGCGGATGAAGAGAGGGGGGGAGATGCACTCTGTCGTTTTTCATATGGGCAGAAAGGCAGCGGCTTGTTCGTAGGCTTCTTCTCCACCCCTTTGTCGACTAATCTCGAATGTTCATGTTTTTGTTGTGGCCTCCCGACTTCGCCGGCCGGGATATTGACGCCAAAGTTGATCTAATTACAGGTCGGTGCTAGCTCAGCTCATGACAACGACGAGGAGGCGGACACAGCTATCTGCTCTGCCGATTTCGCAAAATCACCTCATTGATTCAAGTGTTGCAGGGAGGACACTCAGGATAACGACGACGACGACGACGACGACGACGAGGACGACGAGGAGGAGGAGACGTGCAATCTACTTACTGTATAGTTGCCCCTGATTTCGCACTTAAGTCTCCTGGCAGGTGGAGCGGCCTGCACTGGCACAGGTCTTTTTACCGGTGTGTCGGTTGATGGGTCGTCTTTGCGCGGCTTTTTAGTGTTGTCTCTCTCCCCCCCCCCCCTTTTTCCATCTCAATCTCCTCCTCCTTCCCTCCTTCTTGTCCTGCTGCTGTTTTCATTCCTGTCGTGGTGTCGGCATTCCCGAGGCTGAGCATTCCGGTATGATTTGCTAGAGGTGGTGTTTCTTTTGCCTTGCTACGCTGTCTCCCGGGGGGGGTTCCCCCTCCTCTTCCTCCTCCTCCTCCCTCCTCCCTCCTCCCTCCTCCCTCCTCTTTCCGTTCTCCTCGACTTCCTAATCCTCTCCTATTCTCGGCATTTCGCGAGTGAAGGATTCGAGTATGATTTGCTACTGGAGGCTTCTTCTTTCCCCTTGCCACTCTCTGCACCTCCGCAGGTTTTCTTCTCCCTCCTCTTCCTCCTCCTCCTCCTCCTTCTCCTCCTCCTTTCACCCTTCTTGCTTGCTTGGGGCTTATCGCTGTGAGGGAGGTCTGGCGGCTCTCAGCTACTACCACCGGTAGCCGAGCCGCCGCCACGTCAGCAGTGGGGGGAAGGCAAGTGTATTGGTTTTGTCCAGTCCCCCGCAGCAGCGATTATCGTCCCGGAGGGGGAGGGAGAGGGAACTATTCATTTCGATTTTATCGATTTTGCTGGCTTTGGGCCCACGAAAAGCCGGTCCACAGCGGTGAAAAAGAGGTGGTAGTAAAAAAAAAAAAAAAAAAAAAAGAAGGGGTCGAAGGAAAAAGACAAAAAGGGAATCGAAGGAAAAAGACAAAAAGGGAATCGAAGGAAAAAGAAAAGGGATCCGAAGAGAAAGTAGTTTTAGTTGTTGTCCAAGTCCAAGAAAGTTACCGTTGGTAGTAGCGAGTCTAGCGACCGACCAGCCGGGGTGGTCGCTGTAGCAAGATTTCTTTGTTTTTCTTTTTCAATTTAGCAAAAACAGTTTTGAAGTGTCGCTGTAGCAAGATTTGTGTTGTTTTTCTTTTCTCTTAATTTAGCAAAAAAAGTTTTGAAGTGTCTGGCTGAAGTTCCCGGAAGAGGGAAGGGAGGAGGGTGGGAGGAGAAGGAGGGCAGGGGCAACCTGCTGCGATCCCGAGGAGAGTAGGGCGGAAGAAGTGCGGAGGTGCGGAGGCTTTAGGTAGAGAGAGGAGAGAGAGGCGCAGAATGCCGACAGAGACGACGACGACGACGACGACGACGACGACGACCTCGCCCGCCGGTAGGTCAGCAGCCTTGTCAGCTTCTGCCACGTCGGCTGGACAGACTCTCCCTTCTTCCGTCGGCAAATCAGAGAATGACACGTCAGCAATGCGAACGGATGGAGGACGTGCATCGTCTGGCTACGTGTCCGCCTCTACGACGATGACATCGCCACATGCCGGGTCATCGTCATCAGCGCCCGCCCATGCAGCAGGCACAGATGGGATTGCAGCATTGAGGACGAATGTCGAGGAGGGTGTGAATTTTGGCCCCACCTCGACCATCGGCCGAGAGGAAGACCGATCCCTGCCGCCGCGTCAGCAGCAGAGCAGGTTCATGACGCCGTCGTCGTCGTCGTTGGTGCCACGTCAGCATCTGCATATTCAGCACCATAGTCATCAGACTAATTACAATGAGGAGGATGTTGGATACGGCGGGGGTCATCCACGTCAGCATCTGCATATTCAGCACCATAGTCGTCATCATCACAATCTCAATGAGCATCAGCAGCAACAGCTGTCACGTCAGCAGCAGCAGCAGCTGCCACGTCAGCAGCAGCTTCAGCATCATCGGCAACATCAAGAGGTCAGGACGCTTCTGCCAGATCAGCAGCAGCAGCAGCAGCAGCAGTACAGACCGCGATTGCAGCCGCAGCAGCAGCAGCAGAGAATGATGATGACGATTCAGGATAAAGCCGCCGCTACTACGTCTGCGCCGCCGCCGCCTACGGCAGGGGGGTCAATGATTGTTCCAGCAGCAGCGCGCACACGTGCGCCGACTGCCACGTCAGTCGTTCCTGATGGTGGGAGAGGAGGTGTGCTGCTTGAAAAGCCTTCAGATACGCAGGTGAAAATAGAACGTGTGGGAAGGACTCTCGAGGTGGAGATACCCCCTCTTCGATCCAAAGGGGGCTTATGGCGCCTCCTCACGGTCTCCGTCATCTGGAATGCTTTGATCTGCGTCCCTGCGGTGTTGATTGCGAAGCGCGGGAAATCGCTTTTGTACGAGTTGATGTTCGCGCCATTTTTCGTTGCCGGCATCATCCTAATCTGGATGACAATCCTAACGGCGTGGGAATACGTCCGGGTCGAGATCGGGACATCCAGTTTCTGTGTGACGTGGTCGCTGTGGGAGTGCATTTGGTGGAGGGTGGAGGGCGACGTGAGGGACATCACAGGCGTCTACGTGGAGCAGAAATGGACTGACGAGGAGGATGACCCTTCAAAAGCGACTGTATGTACCATGAAGACTAAGTACAGAGATTATGTGTTTGGGGGGGGGCTAGAGAGAGAGGAGAACGAGTGGGTCGTCGCCGAGATCAACGATTTGCTCAGGGCTAATCCATGTTTTGTCTTGAGGCGGTAGATAGGTAAGACCCGTGACACATGCATATATAGATTTTGAGATTGATTGACAGATCAAGATAGACAGCAGCTGGGTAGGGTAGCCAGATTAGGTTGATATACTAGTAAGTTGATTAGACACTACCTTGTTCCCCCGAGTAGAACGTATTGTCATTATAACTGCATTTTGGCCAACTTTCAGTCTAGATGCAGAGTGATTCTTACCGTACGTTCTGCTCGGCGGAAGACGGTAGGCACATAGGTCGTTAGGTGGAAAGATCGACAGATAGAATGTGTGTGCCAGCAAGCATCAAATGAAACCCATCATCAAATGACGAGTCTGACGGCTGAGCGAGTGGAAGATTATTATTTATTGGCTCGAGGGAGAAAGGGGGGTCATCAATCGATCGAGTGAAAAGAGGGGTCATCTTTTGATGGGTGGGTGATCAATTGATCCCTGTTGTTGTTGTTAATTAGCTCTTGAGGGAACATATGATAATGATGATGATGATGATGATGATGATGATGATGCGTGGGATCTGCAGCTTCGATGGGAAAGGGAAAAATTTTGTGTCATGATGAGAGAGCCAGATAGATGGAAATGTGTGTATAAATGACAGGAGGCACCCCGGAGTCAGACGCATAATGGGTGCCGTGTTTTGAATGGTCATATGGGTCTCTTCCCTTCGACAAGATCTATACTCTCCAATTACAGTACTTCGTGAGTCGGAGTCTGTTCCTGTGAATGACAGCGCTGTCTACATGCCGTGCTGTGCCCCGTGTTGACAGAGGGGCGCGCTCTCGTTCGCCGGTGACTGATCGGTCATTCGGACGATCACGAATTTGCCTCAGTTCATCCTGGTACGTCTGGCTAAATGTTCACTTATCAGCGCGCAAAAGATAGATTGATAGATACAGATAGATAGAGATAGATAGATAGAGAGAGAGAGAGAGAGAGAGAGAGAGAGAGAGAGAGAGAGAGAGAGAGAGAGAGAGAGGAATAAGTGGACTTGTTATGGGGGGCATAGAAGAGGTCGGCGCGGGGAGATGTAAATGGGAAATCGTCGGGCGCGTAATTGTACAGCGGCCAAACTGCCATCATCGGATGTACGATGTAAAAAGCAGATGTTAATTTCGTCCTTTCGTATCGGGACAGACGGCACCTTATTTTATCCAAAACGTACCGAGTGCGTTGTGCAGTACATTGAGCTCACGTAATTTCTGATCTTTACAGGTCTTTAGAGAGAAGAGAGATCCATGCTCATCTGCTTTGGCAGTTATGAAATAGAAAATGTAAAACACGATGAAGTATCTGAATCAGCATGAGAAGCAAGAGATTGTTTCTTGTTGGGAAGAGAGAGAGAGAGAGAGAGAGAGAGAGAGAGAGAGAGAGAGAGAGAGAGAGAGAGAGAGAGAGAGAGGAAAGAAGGTTTACAATGAGACGAGAGTGAATCAGAATGAGAAGGAAGAGATTCATTTAGTGATGAAACGTTCTTTGACGAGAGATCACACTGGACTGTTGTCCTTCACTGGAGTCTACTCCTTCGACATTTGAGTAGTGCACAAGGTGGGAAGCGTACGAGGATGGTGAGGTTAGGGAATGCGAAGGAGGAGGGGTGAAAGGCCCAGGGCCTACTGGCTTATAATTCATTCACTGCGGCATTATGCATTGCGCGCCAACACACTCAGCTTACAGACCTTTCTCCGGAAATCCTCTCCTACTGTCGAAGAGGAAGGAGGCGGACGCGGCGGGTAACCAACGGGAGGAGGGGAGAGGAGAAGTTTTGATTGTAAGGAGGATGGGAGAGAGAGAGAGAGAGAGAGAGAGAGAGAGAGAGAGAGAGAGAGAGAGAGAGAGAGAGAGAGAGAGAGAGAGAGAGAGAGAGAGAGA